AATTGATACTGTTGTTTGCAAAAGATATTCTCAGATCATATTCGACTCCAAATTGGTTCATTGCAAAATCAAATTAAAAAAAAAAAATCTGTTTGAAATAATTCATGCTGCCTTGGTGAGTCTCCATCCTCGTGGCTCTTCTCTGCCATGTTGGAGGACAGGACAGCAAGGGCAGTGCCTCGACAGAGGATGAAAACGTTCTGCTGAACTTCAGTAGCTGGGGTGGCTGTTCCTCGTTCTCTCGCTGAAAGTGCAAGGAGAGAAATGAGTGCCCGTGGGGTGGCCTGGGATCACCGATGGCCCCCCGACCCGGCTTGTCTAAGCAACGTCTGCGTGACCATGTGTGCAAGCCCTCATGATCACAGCCTGGCCCACGAGGTGGGGATCAGAGCTGCTGTCACTTGAGAAGGACCACAGGGGAGCGGTGGAGCAGAGAGCGCTTGGGCTACAGGCGGCCAGGCCCGGCCTTGGGCTGGGGCTACAGGCGGCCAGGCCTGGCCTTGGGCTCGGGCTACAGGCGGCCAGGCCCGGCCTTGGGCTGGGGCTACAGGCGGCCAGGCCCGGCCTTGGGCTGGGGCTACAGGCGGCCAGGCCCGGCCTTGGGCTGGGGCTATAGGCGGCCAGGCCCAGCCTTGGGCTCAGGCTACAGGCGGCCAGGGGCAGCCTTGGGCTGGGGCTACAGGCGGCCAGGCCCAGCCTTGGGCTGGGGCTACAGGCGGCCAGGCCCAGCCTTGGGCTGGGGCTACAGGCGGCCAGGCCCGGCCTTGGGCTGGGGCTACAGGCGGCCAGGGGCAGCCTTGGGCTGGGGCTACAGGCGGCCAGGCGCAGCCTTGGGCTGGAGCTACAGTCCACCAGATTGAGTCTTTTGGCTTCTGGGCAACAAAGTTGTTTCTGAAAGTGAGAACTGGTAAAAGGAGGAGCTGCCAAGGAGACACCAGCCGTACCGGAGGCAGGGTGGGTGCTGGGCGTCGTGCTGGGGACCCTTGTCCTTTATGCGGACGGAAGGAGGAAGCCGGAGGAGTCGCTCGGATTGCACGTGGCGCTGGAAGGTGGCGGAGCTGGGCAGGAGGGACCGCAGGCCTGGCTGGGCTTCCCCATCCATAAAATGTCCCTGTGTTTACTTCCTGCATACAGTTGCTAGAAACTCTGAAAAATATATATAATATATATTTAGCTTGTAATTGCGTTTATTTTGCAAAGTTTGAGGAAATGACTGTGGGGGTTTTTTTGTTTTTTGTTTTTTCTTTTTTTTTCTTTTTTTTTTTTTTTTTAAGCTTTGCACCTTCACATATTGTGTGTGATTGGAGCAAATTATCTACCCATGTTTCATCTGAGGAGCGAAGAGGCTGCCCATAGCAGTGCTTAGAAACATATTAATGGTCTCAGTGCTGTGGCTGGAGAATTTATTACTAAATAAAGTGGCAGCCTTAGAGAGGGCGGGGATTGGCTGTGCTTGGTGCAGTGCAAACGTTGAACACAGCAGATCCTGTTCCTGGGGAGCTCTAATCAGGATAAATTGATGTTACGTAAGATTTGGCTTCTAATGGCATGTTTGGGAAGCGGGTCAGCGTGTGCGCTGAACCGGCGGCTCCCGCTGCCCTTTTGGGGATTGAGGCACCTTTTGGTGGGGATGTGCTTGGCTGAGGAGACTTCTGGATGCTTGAAGACCTCTCCGTTTGTTTTCACTCCAGTTTACCTTGACGTTTAGGACTGAGTGGGCCCGAACTGTGGAGCCTGCGTGGCCGGGTGGTCCAACAATCTCCGTATGCTGGGGTGGGTTTTGAGCCTCTGCCCACGTAGGTGGCCTATGGAAAACGCTGGACTTGGAGATGCCTGCATCTCCATGGGACACGTTCGGTGGAACTGAACCTTTTCCATTGAGGACCCTTGTTTCTTATGGTTTCCTCTTCTTGAAATAAAATTTGATCTTCCCTGGCTTCTCTCAGCCCTGTAAACTTGAGGGCTCCATAGAAAGCCCTTGTATGTGGAGAGTTTTGCTCCCCTGCTTGTCTGTGAGTGAAATGGGAAGAGGGTCTTGGTCCTGCAGGGCAGGTCGGGCTTAGGAAGGGTCTGGCGCCCGCCCGTGCAGTGCAAGCAGGACACGCAGGGATGTGTCCCTGGCTCCCGATAGGATGAAAGCTCGAGAGCGTCGCGCCGTCGCCTTCCCCTTCGTGCCCTTCTAGGGGATGGGCTCCCAAAACCTCAGGGTGGCAATTTCCCAGCTCTGAAGACAAGAACCCAACCCACATTACATGTGCAATGCTGTGCCAGCCAGTATCTGCGTCAGGAAGCGCAGTAAATCGTGCGAGCGACTCCAGCCAACACATGTGCACACCCGAGGAGGAGATAGGAAATATTAGGATGTCCAGGCACTTCATATCTGTAACACATTGCCCTTCAAGTGCTCAGCATGACTTCTTGCTTATAGAGAGATTTTTACTTATAAAAAAGTTCTTGTGTATACATATATAATATACATATATCTCTCTCTAGATATATATATAGTGTGTATATATATATATATATGTTTAAAACCTTGCTTAAAAAGGAGATGAATAAGCCTGCAACCTCAAAGAACTGCCTTGAGTTCTTACTGACAGTTACTCACAGGTGTAGCCGCTTCCCAAACTGAAACCTTTCCATGTTTTTCGTAAGGACTATTGCATGTTCCCATGGGAATGGTGCAGCACGGTTAGTCCTACGTGAAGGCGGGGCTTAGGCTGCGTGCTTAGCTTTGACTTGGGCATCTTGTGCCTTGCCTGCCACGAGTTACTTGTCTCAGCAACCTTTACGTTCAGTTTTTAATATGGAGTTAGAATGGCCGGCGTCCTTGCGATTTCTCTTTGATTCAGGAATGTAGCTCACACGGTGGCTTAGGAGGTTGAGTTTTACAGAAAGGTCTTTCAGCCGATGGTAGTTAATATTGACCCCTTTTTTTTTTTTTCTTTTTTTT